GAGTTGCATATGTAGACTGAATGGCATTTGATGTATTGACGAGGGTCATTGTCAAAAGTAGATCGTATTCCGCCTGGAATTCGTGAGCAAAAGGTTCTTCCTGAAGGAGGTAATTACATTAGCCACGGCGATAATTCCGTTGACCCATTTGCCAATTTCTCGGCCTGCCTTTACTCCATCCATAGACTCGACGCGGTCAATGATGCGCCGACCACCCATAGATTCAAGGCATTTCTTGCCCCACGCTCCTCTCATCTATGACTGGCCTCAGTAGAGACACTATAATTAGAGAATGAACCTACATCTCCATACCCTTTTTGCGCGTCCTTGAGTAATTGGTATATGGTCTTTGCAGCTGGATGTGATGGGTGGGTTGAAGGTTGTGGCATCGATCGTAGAGCGGTAATGATGGGCTGCAAAGTTTGCACGATTGATTGGGAGAATGGAAGTGGCTTGATGGAGTTGCCTCCTGGGGGGTTTCCTGAAGAGCCCTCGGCTACGAGCTTCGTGAAAAGTTGTGTCATTTTCTTCACTCCTGCTTCCACCAGCTGCGCCGTCTCTTTTGCGGCCCTTGGATCGGTATTGAAAGCAATGGTGGCATTGAGTCTCTCTACTGTCGCTATATAGGTGTCAACCTCGTTGGGTCGAGGTCTATCGTATGTGAATACAGAGTGGCCGGTTGCGAAGGGATTCTTACCCGCGAAGGATCAATGCCTCCTCTACAGCTACTCCCTCTTGATCACTAGCTAGTCTATCAATACTTTGCAGAGTTGCTTCTATATCTGTTTCAAACGGTCATTTTGAATCAGAAAGAATTAACGGGTCACTTACTTTCTCCTAGTTTCGTCAGAGATTGTGTTGACCGGTGAAGGGGGAGAATTGACTTTTCCAAACGACTCAATCTAGAATCGAAGTTTGTAAGGATAGAGGTCATTCTCTGAGATATGCTACTCGTTTTGATTAGATGTTGTTCTAAGAGTTCGATATCGGCAGCCTCGTCATCCATTCTGCTCCAGATTCTTGATACTCTAATTATCAGACTATTTTTTCAAGTATTCTTGGAGCTCGTAATTCCCCTCGAGTGGGTGTGGCTGGAGCCAAGTGGCTAAATCTTGGACTCCAACCTCTTGGGCTTGATTTCAGTATTGGTCGCTTATTCTACCATACTTACGTACTTAATACCTTCATCTACCAAAGATTTTGTGAAGCAGGGTTCTTCGCAGAATTTTATGCGGGACGTTAC